GCACATTATGTAAGTTCTAACATCTCGTCAATGTCAAAATGTTTGAGTAGGAGATTAATTCAAAGTAGGTGGGGCTTATGTTCATATTCATTTAAACAGCATTTTTTTAAAATTCACTTTATAAAAGACCACCCAGATTTCTAACTTTCATTCATGGAGATAACATGGATAATATTAAAAAAGAAAATCACTTTAACCACTAGATGGCTATAGAGCTCCACTGTATGCTATTTGCTATTTGACAAATCAAAATATACCTTTTCACAAGTTTTTCCAGTTGGATTCATATCTAAATATTATAAAATCACAATTATAACAAAAACAAACAAAAAACTTTTTGTCAAAGTTTAGAATTTTTTGTAGTGACATTTTCAATTATGAACTGAACAGCAATAACAAATGATCAAATAGAGCAGTAAAAAAATTGTAAAAAAAAAAACAGTGAATGGGGGAAACAAATCGAGTAACTAGGAACAATAATTGGTGGTCTCATCTCATACAGTCTCGTTTACAGTGCACTGCTGGAGTTTAATGCGTCAGTGCACTGCAGACAGTATGCATGGTATAGTATGCAGTATGCATGGTATGCAAATGTATTCCTGTGTGTGTGTGTGTGTGTGTGTGTGTCTGCATGTTTGTGCGCGCATTATGGATGTTTTTTGCATTGTTGGAAGTGTACCACTTTATTTCAGTCTATGTTCTGCGTTGTTTCTGATTTTGATGATGAATGTTGTATATTTACTATGCGTGGTCTCCAGGGACCCCGAAGACAACTACTGTCACTATTTTTTCATGCTAACATAAAAACAGTTATCATTAATATATATATATTTTTATTTGAGTAAAAGTCATTTGCGAGTTAAAAAGACCCTGAAGATAATCAGAGGATTAAACTGTCATCTTGACAAAAAATGTATGCCACATGCACTGGCATGCTTTTAAAGCTATAGTTATCCAATTTTGGGGCCTTAAAAACACCTTAAAATGCACAGATCAAGAACATAAACAATTCCTCGAGGGTGGGATCCTAAGTGATCCCTATAGCAAGATCACTTTTAGTAGCCTACTTCAGTAGCCTATTTAGAAATTCCTGCATAAGACCCTGAATGGAGACCATTTGTGCAAAAATATGTAATTAGCCACTCACACGTTAACTTTGTGCTCAGTCACTGTTATAAATATGAAGGGGGTCCTCAGACATTTTTTTCCCCCTGTAATGGGTCCCTAGCTCCAACATGTTTGAGAACCCCTGCTTTAACAGAACGTTCATTCAATGTGTGTGTGTGTGTGTGTGTTCCAACTATTATACAAGGACTCAACAATAGAAGTCTCTATATCATCTGCTAATGAGCTTAAGTATCGTCTATGAATTGTTTTCCTCACATAGCCTACAGATGCAAATTTGAGTTTTACCTTAGTTCTGGTCATTGTGTCTGTCCAAGCCTGAGTAAGTTAAAGGTCTTGTGTCCAATCAAATTCTTTGACATTTTGCAGACATATACCAGGTTTGCATGCCAGACTTATATGCACTAAATTGATTTTTGTAAAAAAAAGAAAAGAAAAAAACGGTGGGGGGGGGGGTTCATTTAATCTTTGAAGTCATCTAAATAGACCATTTAATCTTTAAAGTCATCTAAATGGACCATTTGAGATGAAACTATACATTTCTAAAAGAATGACCTTCTTGTTCATGTGTTACTGATGTGTTTCCGTGGGGTAAATTTGCTCTAATGCACCCTTGCAGTAGTAAAACTCATTAAATGAGATGAGTAATGTCATGCTAATACATTATAGGCCTAAAATGATTTTAAAACAGAGTTTTATATTGCTTTCAATATAACCTGGAAAATGCATTTATTTAATATTTTTGTTGTTGTTGTTGTTTCTAAAATATTGACACTGTTTTCATTCTTTGAAACAGCATCAGCATTATCTTGTGCTATCTTGTTTATTCATTTTCCCACCCTTTTCAACCCTCTACATTTACAAGGCCAGGTGGGTTTCTCTCACATTTCTTGGTCTCTGTGGGCACAGACATGTGTCTCAGTCCCACATGGAGTACTACAGCCAAAAGATCCACAATCGAACTCTGTAATCTAATGCAGGCAGCTAAAGTAAGCAGAAAGTGCTGAGGTGACTGCACACACACAGACTCACACCCAGTTGAACAATGTTAAATATCTGTTGAAAACACAACCATAGACTTCCTTGAGGAAGACAGTACATTATGTTTGTGCTTACAAAGCTTAGTTGTTTTAGTCGTGTTTAATTTAATCAACTTTGTCCCAGATGTTTCATGTAAAAATTATTTTGGATAAATAAAACAGACAAAATTACACTGTTGACATCTGTTTGGAAACTATTATCTGAGAAGAAGTCCCTATTTGCTATGTGTTATCTCATAGCCTTGACTTAAAGTTAAAGCTTTATGTAGCTTTTATTGTATTTAGCAATAAGGTACGAAAAGCTGTGCTGTATAACGGCTGAAGGGCGTTGTTGACCACTTCGCGTCGTGCCTAACAACGCCCTTCAGCCGTTAACGTTAATTATTCACGATACAGCACTTGCCTCGATAATACCACACAATAAAAATAGCCTATTAAAGTAAAAAAAAAAAAAATGTATTAGTGTAACTTTTGTGAAGTAAAATCTATAAAAGCCTTCCTTCCGATAGAAAAAAAATAGTCGGGTGATTTTTTTTTTTTTTTTTTTGATTTTTTTATTGCAGAACTTATACAAAAAAACAACACAGGGAAGTAAGGCAAGGTGTACAAACAAACAAACAATAGTACCTAACAGAAAATAATAATAGTCGGGTGATGCGGTGTGTTTTATTATGAATAAGCACAGCTATTGACCAATCAGAATCAAGGATTGGAACTAACGCGTGTTATTAATCAAAGGCTGTATGAGTGTGTGTATATTGTGGATAAATGTATACATGTGGTAATGTTCATATGAATGTTATATTTATGTATGTTATATTTGTGTATTTTAATTGTACATATGTTTCAGTAGGCTACTTTTATGGGCCCCAGGAAGACTAGCAAGTTCAACCACATTGTGGAAGCTAATGGGGATCCAAATATATAAATAAAATAAATGATCAAAGGTGATCAAAATAATTGCTTCAATCCTGCCGGTTGTGTTCCAGAACGGCAAGAGGGTTTATGAAAAAGCAATCCAGACATGCAGGATTCAACAATGACAACAATGTGTCAACAATGCCTTGGAAATCAGAGGAAATGTAATCAGATTCAGTGACTTTAATGTCCTTGAATGTTTCCACTCTTTAGTCATTGTGGCACTGATGCATCAGCATGATGAGGAACTCATTAACACTCATTCTGTTCAACACTTTACGAATGTCCCTTTACAAACACATCTTATATAATCCCATTACTCTGTCTGTGTAGCATTCTGGACCAGCATGCATTGCAGGGGTGTTTTTAAAACACTAAATAAACTAGTTTTTAAATCAAGGGTGTGGCAGGCTTTTTTTATCCAGGCCTAATCTCAAGGATTCACAGTGGCTTCCCTGCACCCAACCAAAAACTACTGCACCTCACCAAAACACTCTGCATAATCACTCCATCCCAGAATGTGACTCTGCAAGACACAGCGGGTGTGCATGCTAGGGCAAAATAGCCAGAAGCTGCCAAACTAGTTTTACAACGAGGCTGGCTCTCGGATGACCTTCTCAGCGGACACTTTGGCCAAATCTAGATGATTTATACCTTCAGACTTAATTCATCCTTGATTGACCTGTTCAGGCTTGATTTGTTTGCTGTATTATGAATAATTTGTCATGCACACCTAGTTGTAAAAATATTTCTGGAAACTGTTGTTCCTTGTTCAACTTGTTCCTGCAGATTACTGTAAATGGTTGCAGTCTGGTACTACTTAAAAACACTGAGACATGTGCAATAACACCTGCAGGCTGGACCCAACCAGTCAAATTGATTGACATGCATGTAGCAGTGTTTTCAGGAAGGGAGCGGTAAGCACAGCAAACCAAATCTGACTCCAATCTTAGAGAAAACACACCTTTTCACCAAAGTAAAACTGGATACCATAATTGCTGTAGTTAGTTTGTTTTTGTGTTTGATAATCCTTTTAATTACTGCAAGGGCACAGAACAAGCAAACAAATAAAAGTTTAACTAACTCATTACAGAATATTTATTGTAAGATTTAAATTCACAACAAAAAGAATTCTGAAAATAAAATGCTAATTATTAATTGCCTGGGCTGATTTTGAAACATAACACGTGCTGAATTCGGAACCGCTTTCATACTCGTACTACGTTTACCATCTTTCTTTGGCAGAAATGGTAAGAGTATGCGGTTTTCAGATGAATTTAATGATTTACTCTCATTAATCAGCCAACTGGACATGGTTGTTGACCAATAATTCAACTCAAAATAAATGAAATGGTCTACAAATAATTAGGACATTTCAAGGTCTGCTATTTTTAAAATGTTTCTATTTATCAAATAACAACAGAAGAAATAAGCATACATATGCATTACATAGCCTACACAATTTAATAACACCAAATTAAAATATCTGGATTTAAATGACAATTAATAAATTTTTATATTATACATTATAAATACAATGCCATACTTAATTAATACTTAATAAAAATAGAAAATGTTAATTCTTAATCAGTTAATGCTTATAATTAGACTCACAATTTTCAAATATCAGCAGATGAATTAATTTATCAATAATTGAAACATTTCAAGAAATGTATAATTTATCAAATAAAAAAAGCATAGTGAAAATAACAAGCATAAATCGTATCATCATATAAATACTATACTTGTGGAACTGGATAAGAATCATAGAGGAAAAAATAGCAAGTAAAACTCTCTAACAAAGTACCACACAGAGAAAAAAGACCCAACCAGTCTCCTATCTTTCTAACAGTAGGCTATAGAGCAGAAAGGAACTTAGTTTTGAGAAGGTCCCTCCCTCTGTGTCCGCATTAGAGAGAGAGTTTGCACGTATGTCAGAGGGACTATGGTGGAGGGCTGGTGAAGATGATGGCAGCTCTCTGCGAGGATGGCACATATGGACTCAATTGTGGTCGCAAGAGCGACAGAATATCAGTTTTACATGTCAAACTGACAGAATCAGCCTTTAAAGCGCTAGAAAATTACCAAAACTGTAAGGTGAGTGCTGGAAAACTTACAGTTTTATAGAGAGAAAAGAGCAGCGAGAGCTTGCTCGCCCACAAAAAGCCTTAGTGTCAAATAATCATGTTTTATTTCTCTCTAAACAGTAGAACATCTCTTAAAAGTTGATGATTGTTTTCAGTCGGTTAATGTCCTTGCAGAATTGATTGAAAAATGTTTTTTAATAAAGAAAAAAGACTCTAGGGACTGAGCATTATGCCAACACACCATTACCTGCTATGAACTCTCTGTATGTAATTTGAACTCTAAAAACCACATTTAATAAATTTGTATACATTTATGAAGTCTCAGTAATTGCCAGAGCTTATTTAAACTGGATAAAGCGATGATGTTGTTTAGGTTGTGCGTTTTATTGTATTTTATCCTCGAAATGTGAGCTACAATGCTAACGGTTAGATAAAACTTTCTATACAAACGAATAACGTCGATTCAGCTGTCTGTCATTTCGACATCTTGATCATTTTAGTTGGTTTACAGACTCTGTAACGTAATTATTTCGTGTTACATACGAAAAAGTATTTGGGTTTGACAAAAATTAAAGTTTGGTGAGCTAGCTGATAGCATGGCTAATGTTTCTAACGTTAGCTGGCAGTCCTCCAACAATGATTAAGTTCATAAATGTGGCGATATTTTTGTTGTTTGTTTTACATTCACGACACTTAGTCCAAATAAACATGGGTTAGAGACACAATGAAACCAAATGACATCTGAGTTTGTCTAATTAACGTCTAAATATTGTTGCTGAGCTAGCTAGTTAGCTTGGAATAGTTATACACACCTGAGGAGTTAGATTTATCAAGATAAATTGTTGTTTTATTACATAACCGTCGTTTATCATGTGCTAGGCATCCATATTTAGCTTAAAAAACACAGCAGATAAGTTATTTTTCACTAGAAATGAGTCTTTTTGCTTTTGATGTGTTGCATGTGACAAAGTGGGGAAACCCATTACTCTGGCTTGTACATTTTTAATAGTGCACAAATTATCTTTCATGTAATTTTGATAAAATCTCCTAAACTACTCCTGCCCACAAACGATGTATGATTCTTTCCATTTGGGTCATTCAAGTGAGTAGTAGTACAATGCATGAGTTAGATGTGTAAAACTGTAATGAATAGGCCTAGCCTATGTCACTAAGATAAGGAAATTGATAAAAACAAAAAAGACCTTCTGGGCATTTCTATCATTTCAAAAGCCTGAAAGAGTTTCTACTGGCTTACTAGGAGAAATCAGGCAGCTTCAATGAAGAGCTGCATTGTCTGGATTTTTTTTAAAGCTCTACACTGCTCAAAGTGCTTACGAGGCAGTGTTTGACTTAAAGCTATAGCTGGCCCGTTGTAAAAAAGAAGGGGAAAAAAACTGTGCACTGGGTTCATAGAGATGGTTCGTTCAATCCTGGAAGGCCAAATCCAGCTTAACGTTTAGGCCCAAGATTTGCTTTAGGTTGGAATGATTGGACCGAACCACCAATGCAGGTGAATGTCCAGGCCACATATAAAGTTAGTCAACCCATTTAGTTTGGAATTCCTCTAAAAAGAGTTAAGTTGAACCTTGAAGCTTGTTTGGGACAAAATTTAGCTTCATAATCCATCAAGTTCCTGGCTGCTTTAGACTGGCAATGTTTCTGTTTGTCTTTGTTGATTAGGACTTGCAGTTTGGTTGATACTCAAAATGTTACAACACACCATCGGCGAGGCCAGCTGAATGAGTCTTAAAGGGATAGTACACCCAAAAATTATTTACTCTCCCTCAAATTGTTCCAAACCTGTATGACTTTATTTCTTCTGCTGAACACAAAAGAAGATATTTTGAAGAATGTTGGTAACCAAACAGTTGTGGGGCTTCCAAAGTATTTTGTTTCCATACTATGGAAGTCAATGGTGCGCATAAACTGGTTGGCAACCGACATTCTTTAAAATACCTTTATTCATACAGGTTTGACTTTGAAACAACTTGAGGGTGAGTAAATGATGACAGAACTTTAATTTTTGGGTGAACTAGCCTATCCTTTTAAGCTCAGTGCTCACCAAAAGATGCATACCATTCCTTTGATTTAATCTAGGACTATTGTGTTTATTAATATTCTAAATAAGAATTTTTTTAGATAAATAGATCTTGTTTTGTTTTTTTTACCTTCAGTTTAAGTAGGACATTTTTGTCTTTTTGGTAAATATTTGTATTCATCTCTAATTTATTCTCTTATCAGTTTTAGTACTTATTTGTCTCAGTCGCCAAGGTTTCAATGTTCATTTAACTTAAGTTTAAGATTTTCATCTAATATTTATATTAGGCATGTAACTATTTCTGTCAACAAAGGTGATTTATGAATATTTTAGTTTGAGCAAAGTACTTGCCGTTCAGTTGAAAATATCTTACGTGTTCAAAAAATGCTCTGACAAAATATTAAAGCACTACAGAAGGTTGCATAACAATCTTGTGTATGAAGTGTGAGCTAATGTAAAGAATGTACTGTAGTGATCATATCATGCAGGGCTTAGTGTTCTCCTATATTAATCAGATAAGAGTCAGGGATTACTTTAGTTCATCCTTACCATACCTGCTCTAGCTTTGGCATTATGCTGCAATATAGGCAAGAATGCTCAATATGCTTTGTGTCTTCAGCTAGCTTGATTCACTGACCAGAACTGGGTATTTATAGTGTCTTGGCACATGTTGTTATGTTCCAGATCTGTTTGTCTTTCAGCTACCGTTTTTAGCTGAGCTCGTGGTTAATCATTATTCGTCTCTCGGTAATGGGACAATACAGTTGGGCCAAAGACAGGGAATGCGTGAACCTCAGTGATGATCCTGGAGCCGTGCCTTATCTCTTTCATCGCTGTAAATTTTGAAAATAGATCTCAAGTTGCAAAAGCATGTCTGTATATGTAGTGTTTGATTTACTAAGGAAGCCATTTTAACTACATTGCCTGTTTCCGTCACTTGTGGTTTTCCTACGAAATTTATGTTGGACATCAAGTTTCGAAACGTGTGACTTGACGAAGCAGCACCATAAAGTTGTTAAAGTCAGATATTGAAATGTATTAAAATGACACTGGACCGCATAGCCCAGAAATATGCAAATGTGTGTCATAGATGAATTTTACTATCTTAATTATGCACGATTAAATGGAAAGTGGTGCTTTATTATTTGCATATAGCATTGTGTCCGTGACCCTGACTCAGCACAGATGTGCAACCCTGTTTTAAGAGTTGAGTACCACTGGTTTAGGTTTCCAAATCATGAGTGTTTAATCGCACTTCTTCCTACTCCTGTGTAATGTGATCTGATCTAGTCTGTGTGCAAGTGTGCTTGGGGGGTGGGGGCTTGTGATCTGGTTAAACAAGCCTTTAGAGATGGAGGAGGCTTTGGGAAGTATTTGAATATAACTAAAGGTGTGTGGTTGCTAGGAAGTAAAGAGTTTGGTGTATGTTCTGCACAGAATGTACTCTAAACATGGTATGTACTGTAAAATAAAATCAAGTGGAATTGAAAGTTCAAGTCGAGTGTGTTGAATTGAGGGATATGGTATTTTTTGCTGTGTAATCTAGTTGTAAACTGCACATTTTTAGAGAAGTAGTAAGTCTTGCTGGTAACCATGCAGAAAATGCACAAACTCTAACTATACACACTATTGAGCACATTAATCTTGCTGCATTTCATAGTTTTTCTTAATTAAATTAGCAGATACCCATGTGGTCACTTGTATTTGAATGTTTTGCTAGATTAAAGCTACACTGTGTGATTTTTACCCCCATCTAGCGATGAAAAGGTATATGACCATCCAGTGAATATTAGTTTGTGTACCTCTCAATTCCGATTTCGTTTTAAATCCTATGGTGGCCAATGTAGTCCAAGATTAACATGGCTTCCAGTTCGACCTCGTCCATGAGTGTTAACTCAAACGCGAAAGGCGAAGCTTGAATTAACGGGTATGTCCCTCTTTGGCTAATGTACTTTCAAGATGGAGGGGCAACATGGCGACTGACATTAGAACCCCTTACCCGTATATATTTTCAATGGCATATTATACACTCACGAGAATACTTTATTACTTGAACGAAGTAAATATACATTAATGAGCACATATATTTTTGAAAGAACTAAGTGTTTTTAGCTAAGAATAAACTAAAAGAGTTACACAGTGTAGCTTTAAATTACTTTTTAGCGGCAGGTTTCATTTATGAATTAGTTGACATGAATATTCTCATCTTTTCCAGAATGCACCATTCCCACAGGCGACGATACGTTTTCAGGGTCTTCAAGGGGTAAGTTGACTTTCCATTGCTTGTGGAATAGACCCATTGATATGAGTTTTACAGCGTCTGAATGAGTATCATCACCTGCTGAAGGGTGTGAGTTACTCAAAGCACCCTTCTGGACCTTTTGTCTTTATAGAGAGCCCTGAGCCTTCTGTAGTTTAATTGGGAGGTATCTCACTTTTACACTGAAAGCACCCGTTTAACATCTGACCCTGGTGACAACATGCTGTAGTTTACTTCAGACACTGTGTTACTATAAATACTGGGTCGGCGAGTACGGTTCCGGTTTTACGCCCATGAATACTCTCTCTAAATACATAGTCTACTTAACTAGTGTCTGACTGTTCTGTCACAATGAGTCTGTTCTAAAACTGCCTTGTAGCTCGTCTTAGACGAGATCCATCAACAGTGACGGATCCTCGTAGGTGAATTATTTATAACGCTCTACATGGGTGCCAGTTCCTTTAACTGTCAGTCAAACACATCTTAATGAGAAATGGTCAAAAGACTTGACTCATGCTGACTGTTGATTCCAATAGTTTTGCATTAGCATGTTGCTATGCTAATAACCCTCAACACAGAAAATAAATACAAGAAATTACAAAGTGATTGGCAGTGTTGTTTTAGTATTATTTATATACTATTATAGTTTATAATATATATATATATATATATAGTATTTGTTAATATCTTGATTTTTTTATGTTTTCATTTTAGTTTTAGTTTACGTGTCAGTAATTTTGTTATGGTGGTTATGGCTTTTTTATATATAATTTTTTGTTACTTTGTTCATTTCTATTTAGATCCATTTTATTTTTTTGTACCTCAACTTAAACATTTTATCTAAGTTATTTAGGCAACAGTTCTAATTTGTTTTTTGTTTTTAAGCTTACGTTTGAAATATTGGTGATTAGTAGTCAGACAGGACTGTTTTTAACAATAGTTATCAGTATTTAGTGAATTTGTGAAATAAAAGCATTTATAACTGTGATTTCTCTCAACTCTGCCATATTGTCATTGTGGTATTGCCTACTTAATGAAGGAGACATGCAATGATACTTTAAAATGTGTCCAAAACTAGGTATAAGGCAGCATAATGACTGCTTTTTGAAACAGCCAAAAAATAAAAACCTAAGATGCCTTAAATTACTGTCTAGGTAGCAATCTAATATTAGTTGTAGATTATTTTACATTTTTTGAATGATGATAATGATGATTATGACGATTACCTTTAAGCATTCAAATAATTAAACTTGTTTTTATCTCCACCCCTTCAGCGCATTAAAATCCCAACAACAGATGCTTCCGATGGCTCTCAAAACTTCGATTTTTATCTGTCCAACTACGGAAAAGACAATCCTCAAGGAAGCTTTGAGTGTATCCACCAGTACATATCTAGGTAAGGGTACAGTGAATTTCTTGTCAAAAACTACTGCTAATTTTTGCTGTTGTTTCTCATTTTTAACTATTCTGTGCCTGTTAGCTCTGGGGTCCCCAATCTGTCCTCCTTGGGAACGATTCAGGACAAAATGACAGTATGTGCCACCAATGACTCCTACCAGGTGACCAAAGAGCGCGTGACCAAAGCAGAGGAGGATAAAGTCAAGAACAGCACCAAATTCATCAAACCCGGAGGACCGTTCAGAGGTTTGATATTAATCCAAGGCATTTTATCTCCTGTAACATGCACATACAAACACATTCTGGTCACGTAGATAAGGGGAGTACCCAGTATTCCATTAATCCTAAATTAACAAAAACCCTATGTTAACAATTGAACATGTAAAAAGCCCACAAAGGACTTTCTCATTGGATTTTTTTTTGTTCTTGTTCCAGTTAATTTAGCATTTCAAGCATTTCTATTTTAATTTCAGCCTAGTTTCAGCCGAGATGTTTCTGTTTCAAGATTATCTACACAGGATGTGGTTTTCTTTTCGGTTTCTGTTTTCATTTCCATTTTGGATCTGCGTGTAGTACAACGTTACATGAGTTTGCTCATTTTTTTTACATTGGAATGGATTTATACAAAATAATAATTTTGTGATCTCCCATCAATCAGGTCACATAGACCTCTAACATTTGCCCAGTTCAATTGTCCCTGAGCACGTAACCATGTGCGTTAAACCAATTGGGAGCTTTAGAGAGAGTGATGTATGGATTAGGGTCAAGAGAAAAAAGCAAGTAAAAGTTGATCCTATTTATCTCACTGGCTAAGTCGTGGTCCACCCATGCCTCTGAGATTACCAGTGTGCCCCAGAATTTATTGTGAAGTGAAAAGTAACATACTGAATCATTCAAATCTTATATGGGTATTGTCACCTGCAATGACACCTGCTTAGGTTGTTAAATGAAAGCAGCCATTCTTGCTTTTTAAAAACTGCAGGGGGAAGACATTGCTGCAACCCTAGAGACCCGCTTTAACTCATGTTTTAAAACAGGTATCACAATTTAGGAAAAAAAAGAGAACCCTTGAGGGTTTTTAAAGTGTCTTTAACTAACACTTAAATGCAGCTCATTATATTTCACCCCATCTAGGCACAACCTGTCTCTCAGCACCTGTTCAGCTGTCACTCCCCTCTGGGAGCCCCTGAGCTCCGCACCACAGCTGGCAAAACTGGAAAAGTTAGTTTCACTCCCCTCCCTCGGCACTGAGCCGCAGGAGAGGACTGATCGGGTGCTTGCACATTTTTCACAGCAAAAGGAAGAACAAGAAAAGAAAGGCTTTGCAGCAGCTGGTGCTCAGGAAGCCTAGTCACACTCTTTTGTTTGTGTGGTTAATCTGAGAGAAACATGCAAGAGTTCAAAATTGTGCAGATTTGCTGTATTATTCTAAGTTGAAAAGATCCTCGATTCCTCCCAGTCTGCTGTACACTGCTACATGTGTGACTGCCAAAGCTTATTATCCACTGACGCAAGAGTTTCACCTGACTGGCAGGAGGTGAGACAGTGAAAGTTTGTATCTGGATGTCATCTAGTCATCGGCACATGTTCGGGCAAACCAAAGGGAGAGTAGGATCGTTAAAGAGTCGCTACTCTTAATCTTTAAAATTACTTTTGATGAAACTTTTCTGAGGCTCATATAGGTACTTCAGTATTGTTTGGAGAGTGTCAGAAGCATTGGTACTATATTTTGGTACAATACTAAAATAAACACTACTCGGTATGTTATCAATGTGCTGTCTGAGTAACAAGCGGCTCCTTTAAAATGTTCCCATGGTTAATTTCAAAACTCGAATCAATTGTCTAAACGCTAATAAAAAAAAACATGAGATATAATTAATTGACATGAATGTTGCAAAATTAATTGTGCTCAATTAAAATTGAATGTGCAATTTCTGACTTGTATTCCTTGGTTATCTTTTGACCTTTTCACAGTAGAAAAATTGAGCGGTATTATGGCCGTTTCACACAGAAATGAGCGCCACGGTTTTTAGAATGCCATGTCATGCGTGAGATGCTGCAACGGTTAAAGACGTCCGTGTATTGCGATTTTTTTTTACATAGAAAATAAATGGAAAATTAGCACATTGGAATGGTAAAAACATATTCTGGCACCTTAGACAGTATTACCCACCAATGGAAATGATATACCATCTAGACACGTGGTTTAGCACTAATCCTACATATTTCCACACATAATATTCCAGTGTTAGTAAAGCAGTGCTAAGAGACTTTGACAGAAATCCTTATAATAAATTTAGCTGTTTTAACTACTTCTCTGATTGGCCATCTCTCTGTGAATTTTTTTTATAGACAAAAAAATCCAGCATCGAAAACCGGCCCCTTCAGCCCCCGACCCGGCTCCAGAGAGGAAGCAGACCACCCCCCTAAACCCAGCCAATACCATCCGCAAGTGCCTTACCAACAACCCCGTATCACAACGTCCGTACCGGGACCGCGTCATTCACCTCCTGGCCCTGCGCTCCTACAAGAAGCTAGAGGTGCTCGCCAGACTCCAAAGAGATGGCATCAGCCAGAAAGATCGCAACTCTATGGGCACAACACTACACCAGGTGAGAGAGGGATTGGGGAGTGGAATCAGTTTAGTTCTCTGGATTAAAGCAAAAAGTTAAGCTCAATTGACAGCTGGTTTAATGTTAAATCACCACGCAATTCTTTTCCGTTTTCCTTTGAGATTTGAAGAAGTTTAAGATGCTTTTCTATGTTTTTGCTAGATGCCTCCTATGCTCACCAAGACTGCATTTATGATTAAAATACAGCAAAACTGTGAAATATTATTAGTTTAAAATGACAGTCTATAATATATTTAATGTAATTTATATCTGTCATGGGAAATCTGAATTTTCAGCATAATTTATCCAGTCTTCAGTGTCGCATGCTCCTTCAGAAATCATTCTTATGTGCTGATTTGCTGCTCAATAAAACATTTATCAATGTTGAAAACAGTTGTGCGGGTTAATATGGTGTAAACCTTGATACATTTTTTTTTTTCAAAAGAATAGTAGTTATTTAAAAGGGTTTTTTACTTTAGTCACTTTTGATCAATTTAATGCATCTTTACTGAATATAAATATTAATTGTTATTAACTTTTGATTTTTTTTAAATGTTTATTATTAAAGTTAATATTTAAAAGTTTATTAAACTTTTAAATATTAGTAAACTTTTGAATGGTAGTGTACCAACTTAAATCACATTTTTGACATTCAAATTTTGCTATGCCTAAAACCTTAAAATGGCTGTAAAAAGGAGTTTAATGAAGTTAAACTTAACAGTAGTTTTGACGCATGTTTTTTTGTTTTGTTTTTACAAAATGGTTTAAATCCTCAAATTGTCCCCATTCACTTCCATTGTAAGTGCCTCACTTTGCCTCTTTTTTTTTTTTAAAGGAGACAAGTGATGAGTCAAAATAATCAACATTATGCTGAAAGTGCTGTTGATTACATTTTAAAGTCCCCATGAAATCAAAATTGACCATACTTAGTACTTTGTTTGCCTAAATTGATCGTTTTGTGGTGAACAATTCATACATGCAAGTCAATCCACACAAAAAAAATTTTTGGCTTCGTAATCTTTAATCAAATTTTTTGTTTCAACCCCCATATTCTTTAATATGTTTAAAGAGCAAGATGCCTGACTAGAAAGTAGGGCTGAACAATTGATTGCATTTGCGATTATATCGCGATATGATGAAACGCGATTTTGTAATCGCAAAAGCTGCGATTACCATGGTGATTAAACTGGTCACGTGATGCGCGAGAGAAAAGCAGTCAGCTTGGCACGATATGCATATAGGTCTGTCATACAGGAAAGAACAGTTTATTTTTAATGTATGTCACATTGTGTTATTTATCCCCTCTCCAACAATTCTGGATCGATTCAAAGAATTTCAGAATCGAGTCTGAGCGTAGTTTTTAAACACAGATGCGTGATGACGCTGCGCATGCTTTAGAAACAATTTTGCTTGCTTCTAATTCCTCTCTCTCACATACAAGACACTGCTCGAAAGTTTGGGATTTAACCGAATTACAAGGACATTCGCAGGCTTCATTGCACAGGTTTTGCCGCTTTACTTGATGTTATAACGTTACTCTTGGCCGCCGGGACTTTCCTTACAAATGCTCCACAAAGGCATTATTTATGTCTTTTGGAATGCAGTTGGCTTATATATTAAAAATATGAAAATCACTGAGAAGGCTGCTTTCATTTTAAAATACTTGCGTGCACTTTTTTTGAAGAGCGCTCGTGCATGCGGCTGTGAGCGACTCGTTGGTTAAATTTACTTGCATCTCAAAATGCTTTTATGACGAGAAATGAATATAAACATGGTCAGTTATATCTTAAACCAACAGGACAAACCACATTTACAATTTCAAAAGAGATATGTTAATTTGTGTGAATGCAGCTTATCGTATTTAAACTGAGGGGGGGAATCACTCCAGCTCTTGAATGAAAAACATTCAGACAGCGTACTTTTAAATACTGAAAGCACTCTTTGTTTATTGCTTGTAATGCTTTTTTGTTCCTCTTTATTTACTAGCGTTTATATTTTGAAGCGATATTAGTTTATATAGCCTATTTAAAATTCTAAACATGTAATTGGTTTAATTAAATGTTTATATATATATATATATATATATATATATATATATATATGTATTTTTACATATGTAATTAAATACATATTTTAAGTGTTAAGATTAATTAATAAGAAAAAAATTAGATCAGAAGGTAAAGAACTTAAAGTACTTGCATATTAAATCGCAAACGCAATATTGGTTAAAAAAAGAAATCGCAATTAGATTATTTTCCATAATCGTTCAGCCCTACTAGAAAGGCATTAATTGCACTTAAATTGCTGTGCAAGTTCTTTGAATGCAGCTTGAGGACTGTCATAATCATTCATATCAGTTCAGGATAGGTGACAGAGACTTGAAGCATAGTTAGTATCAAATCACAGCTGTGATCTAATAGGCTACTGACTCATGGCACTTTTGCAGAAGTACAGTGTCGCATAATGCATGTCCTCATTTAACAGCCCAAACACAAAGACTTGCATTCACCACAGCTGAATGTATAGCACGTGGGAAATTAGGCAACCATAAATTAACCTTATTAGTGTAATTATGCACATGCATGCTTAAACAGCTCACATGCCGAAGAGACCTGCATAGTTCATTTCAGTTGATACAAGGTCTTGCTGTTGACAGAAGTCATATTTGAATGGCTTTTGTCATCAAAAAGGGTAAAAAGAGAAATTTTGGTTCTCCCCACTAGTTTCAAAAGAGAAATATCACGGTTCTCATCACTTTCTATCACGTATAGAAGGAATTTATTCAGTCTTTGAATAGGGAAGTATGAAAACAGCTTCTCTCCTTCTTTGGAAATGAAGGAAAGACTGAGAATCTGAAACGGTCCCCCTCGTTGGGTTGTAATGTAAGAAGTAACACTATATCCCTTTGCCTTACTGTCCATTTGCATTACTATTTATAGTGCGTGTGTGTGTGTGTGTATCTGTCGCTCTTAAGTATGCCGACTTAAACAAGGATGCAAAGTGTTAATTCTCCTGTCTATCAAATGTGTACAAGTAGTTAAAACAGTATTGGTCATTTTATATTTTTACATTAAATGAGAATTTACTACATTTTTACAGTTTAAGACGAGCTAGGTTCATATTTTATTCAGTGCTTGTTTAAAAATCAAGCTTGCTTTAGAAAGCACCACTAATTAAATGAAATATGGCACAAATTAAATGATTTTTTTTTTTCATTTAAAAAAAAATAAAACTGGTCCTTTTAAAAAAACTTTCTATGTCTTGTATATTAATCAAAGGAAAAGCAATTAACGCAATATTTTCCATTCCAATAGGTGGCCAATCTAAACCCTAAGGATAACTCATATTCGCTGAAAGACTTTATCTTCCGTGAGGTCCAGAGGGATTGGCCGGGCTATACGGAGGATGAACGGGTTCAGGTTGACAGGATCCTGGCACGGTAAGATTTGCGGGTCACATGCAATTAAAAGAAGAATGACTTTGTAATTGAACATGAATTGTTTTTGAGAGCCAGTACAAGAGATCTAAATAGTTTTTTTTGCAAAGCTTGAATTAGTTTAATTTTGTCTCCCTCCAACAGTAAATTGGGCTTGAATTCAGAGTCTGTCTCATCCAGCAGCCCAACCAAAGAGCCAACATCCCCACTGGTATGCCACATACATAAACATATTTCTATATATCTTATTATATGTTAATTATTCATATATACATATTCACACACACACACATATTTGTATATTCAATCATGGCAACTGTCAAACTGCAAACTGCGACTGCTAATAGATACAGTGACACGCCTCTTGAGCATGTAAGATATGCTGCTGCTGCATGAATAGATGTACATAAATCCCGTAGGTGGAACTGGGGGAGGTGGAGGGTTTCAGAGGACTACCCTACAGCAAACACTGAACCAGACTATTTAAATATTAAGCAAGTGGCCACATTGGCTGCAGGATCAGCAGAGTTTGTACCATGCAGCAATGATGTCATTTCTTGCAGATTGGATGTAAAGGACCCTAACAGTCTGCGCCCTCTGAAGGCAGCATAAACAATATATACTTTATTTTATATTAATATAAAATTAATATTTTTACATAATATAAACTATTTTTCTATATGTTTAGCTTCATACAAAAATAGTCACTATTTGCATTTCCATGAAATTTCCAGAAACAAGAATAATGTTTTTGTTCTATTCAGAAACAGCAACCTGAGGCCGACTTCATCGATCCTCTGATGTCTAAGAAGCCTCGAATCTCCCATCTCAGTAACCGAGGACCTCCCTCGTCTGGTCGTCATCCTTCGGAAACTGGGGACAAAAAACCTGGACCCACGGCCGCCTGCCCCGGACCTGCTTTTCACCCTCCACCTGTCACAGGCTCTAGTTCAAATTCCCCCAGCACGCCGGAGGGCCGGGGGTCTCAGGATCTGCCCCTGGACCAGAGCTCTATATGTGGGAACTCCTCGGAGAGCTACGCGCCCCGCAACCACACGCCAAGCCCTCCCAGCCAGCCGGTTTCCACGACCTCCCCCTCATCCTTCTCTACCTGTACTGTCTCGACAACCACCATCACCTCCACCACTACCACCAGCAGTGGCCCCCACGTTTCCTCTGCCGCGTCTCCTACAGCCAGCCGTGACGGCAATGGCAGCAAAAAGCCCAAGAAGTCCAAGAAGCACAAAGATAAAGAGAAGCGAGAAGGAGAACGAGAGATGGACAAAGAAAAGGATCGGAAGAGGGATAGAGCGCATCGCAAGGAGGATCACTGTGACAAGGAAGCACAGCCCAGAAAGAAACACCGGAGTGAGGCAGAACATAAACACATTCCTGCCAACATCAGCCACGAATCGGACAAAGAAGGTTTGTTTTGCACTTCATGTTGTATTTGCGTCCTCCACATGCATTTTGTGGCATTCCCATCAATGATTAATTGATCGTTCATTTTAATGACAACAAGTCACTGAATTAATAAATCATTGAATCAAATGATTCGACAGAAAACATGCGATTCACCGAATGCCACCAATGTCTGTTAACTAAGGAATTGTAAACCGTACCAGTAAGTCAAATAACAGCCAAATTTCAATTGATTAGCTGGATGTCTGGAATTGTGAATAAAGCACATTGTCAGGCCTGATTGATAGATTTATGCTACATTTTGCTTAGAAACATGAACTTTAGTTCACAACATCATATAGGTTATTCAGTTCCTAAAGACCCAAAGCTCATGTATTACGTGTTCTTGTGAAATGGCAGTATGGTAAATGGTAATTCATGTTTGTACGTGACTGGTGTGTCTCTTTACAGCTGGTAAAGACAAGCCTGTCAAAAGCACTGAAATGCCAATCCCAACGAAGCCTGATTACATAGTGTGAGTGAACTTTGACTACTTTGTAGTGCATGCTTCTGCATAGTGTACGTGAACTTTGACTTGTGTATATTGTGTTTCCGCATAAACCCTCTGCATATAATTTTAATTGGATGTGTGTGTATATATTAACATATATATGTACACTTTTTATTTAATTTTATTATTTTTTTCTTTCAATGGACAAACTATATATAAGAAATGAACAAAATCTTGAGTCTCATTGTGTTTTTTGCTGTTTTATTCCAGTAAGTACACTGCTGTGATATCTATGGATCAGAGGCAGCACTATAAGGATGACTTCAATGCAGAATATGATGAGTATCGTATCCTTCATGCCCGTGTTGAGAGCGTTACACGTCGTTTTACAAAACTGGACAGCAGGTGTAGGCGTCTAGCTCCAGGAACTAAAGAGTATCAGGTAAAAGAACAATACTTTTTTTTGCTTTAATGTTCTTGCTGTGTGACATTTTCTTTATATGAAGAACTATGATTTATGTTTACATTTATGCAGGCAATAAGTGTATGTCTTTTCCTTCTAGGAAGTACATGAACAGGTGCTGCAAGAATACAAAAAAATTAAACAAGTAAGTGTAACTGAGCATGTCTTGCCCATCTGGGTCCTTTAGTAAACAAACACACTGTTAAATGAAAATGGTATATTGAGACACTTTGTTTTACAGCATAGCCCAAACTACTATGAAGAAAAACAGCGCTGTGAGTACCTGCACAACAAACTGGCCCACATCAAAAGGCTGATCGCTGACTTCGACCAGCGGAGGGCGCAGTCCTGGCTGTAGGGCACGGGACCAAGCAAACACCTCGGCCAATCAGAGCGCTCCTCAGCCGGAGTACCATCTTTAGGGGAGTGTGGGGATCAAACAGCTCCTTATTTATTCTATTTACAGATCCCCCACTCGCCTGTTTCCCATACCTGGCCGCCTTTTATCACTCTTTTTCTGATTTTCTTTCTTTGTTCATTCTTTTTTTTTTCTTTTATTCTTCATTCTCTTTCTTTTTGAAGGACTTTTTTTGAAAGAAAAAAGACAAAGAAAAATTAAACATTCTTGAATGCAAAAAGAAAAGTTACGCAATGCAAAACCGCGGGCCTTACAACGCTTATTTCTTGAAGCCTTTTGCACAGGGGTGATCGAGCCAGTACATGTGAAAAAGTGGCCATAGAAGAGGGTGTTTCCAAGAGCCTTGAGACTTCCTTTCTCCCAGTGGCCCTGTTTTTTTTTTTTTTTTTTTTTTTTTTTTTTTTTTTTTTTTACAGCATCAGTATTCACGCCCACAGTGCAAATGATGCCTTAAGGTATTAATATAGACACATAACTATGTGGCATCAGTGAGACAAGCACCCGGGGCAGTGGGGAGAATTTATGACCTGGTCGCAGGTCCACCGCACATTCATGGAGAGTGAGTGAGATAGTGAGAGAGAGAGAGTGAGTGAGAGAGAGAGAGTGAAAAATATTCAGTGTTTTTGTTCATTCTTGGGAAGGATTATTGCGGGTCAGAAAATACAGGAAGAGAGAGGCTCTAGAAAAAGGGTTGGATATATATACTAAAAGAGGAAAAAAACGGAAAACGAAAATCCAAAAAAAAAGCTGCTATTTTTTTTTTTCTTTGAACAGCCAGAGCATTCGGGATCAACCTGGCTCATGTTACATGTTCTTAATTTGGGCCTGCTCTGTTTAAGAAAATGATCGAACCATCTTAATGGCGAAGGTGCTACTGATTTATGAGGAAATGCATCGAGCAGAGGCAGACCTGTATATCCATTTCAAATGTATTCATTAATTATTGCAAGTCTCAGAGTTATTTATGAAATATGAATAGCAATATATATATTATGTTTTTTTGAATTAAAAGGAATTGCTGGAATTTTGAGTATTAAAAAAAAACTTCTCAAATTTACGTAAAAATAGAAGTCTTTATTTGACGGTATCGTGAGTGATAAACTTCTTAAAGATTAAGGGAAACATTATGTTTACAAAACCTGTGTGGTAGGAAGTTTTGCCAAAAAAAAGTAATAGTCTTATGTTGATAGTCTGGAATAAGACGCGTTTCTCTGAGCGACACTTTGGTATTTAAAAGAAGATGGTGGTCGAACACTTGTGGTGTCTTGGTAATATTTATTTTCTTTGATCTTTGTTTAGGGAAAATATCCTGAATGCAGCTGTGTGAATCAGCCTTGAAAATACCATTGCTTGCAATTATGCAAATTCTCACTGGATCAAATAACTCCAGCGTGGATTCTGATTGGCTCGTTGATTCTTGAGGCTTGCTGCATTGTATTTGCACATTTTGGGATGTCGTTTTGAGATCTGAAAACAAGTGATCTCTCTCGTCTTAGAATCATAATTATTCCATTGTTAAAAGCGGGGTGTTGCTCCCTTTGTTTTCCAGTGTTGTTAATTGAAATTTAAAAACCCGGGTGAGCCATTCTCAAATTAACCATCGACAAATGTTGGTTTTTAGTATTTGGGTTGGCAGATGGCATCTTATCTGATTTGTTTAGGGACTTCATTTGTTCTCAGACTCGCCAAAATGTTTTTGTGTGAGCTTCTGTTCATTTTAGTCCCCATTTATAGACCGATCGCAATGTCTGATTACAAACAAATCCATGTCGTCGCTATTTAACAGAAATTCAGCAGCACTTTACTTCACAGATGCTTATTTCCTCAGCTTTCAAATAGCCTCCACACTGAACCCTAAAGATTTTGGGATGACACTAAAAAGTGTTGCTTGGAAGGAAGAATGTGCATCTACACACAACCTGGTATCATTGTAATTTGGGTTGGATGGGGAACTATTTGGTGTGTGTGTGTGTGTGTGTGACCAACACTTGTATTTTTTCCCTTTGGAAGAGACTGTGCCTCTGACACCACTAAAGAGAGATGTTAATGTTGAATAATAAGCCAAGAATCTCATAACACTGTCATCTCTAGTTTTAAAAGTGGATGGGGGTTGTGTCAGACTGTAAGAGTTCCTGACCTGTCCACCTAAAATATATTAAATCAGTTCAATAAAATGTGAACTTGACAACATATCTGCTGCCTTCATTTTATTTTATTTTTCACCCACGAATGACAGCGTATTTCCACTGCAATGGTTTTGAACAGTTGTTCCGTCAAACACCTGTCCGTCAAAGATCGAACTAACTAATTGTTTTGCGATCATCTACCTGGTATTAACAGGACCAGATCAGCATAATTCAAGTGTATAGATATATCCATATCTTTTTTTAGCTTTTTATTCAATTTTGTTCAAACTATTGAACATTTTGTGATGTAATTGAAAAACGTTTTGGTAGACATTTTGATTCCTCCTGACTTGAATCTTATGAATCTGTTCTCATTCAATGACTCGTTCATGCGAAATCATGCTAAAATGTTCCTATTAATATTTTTTCTTTTCATCTCTTCAGTCTGAATAAGAAATAAATATATTTCTCCACAAAAAAGTGCAATAGTCCAAGTGGAATAGGACTCACCATGCGGTCACACAGTTCAAAGAAACATCCGTGAACAAAAGTTAAATAAGACTATTCGTTTTCTAAAGGGTTCGTTAACAAACACCATAGTGGCTCCCTCCAACAAATTGGCATTTTTTTTTTTTAAATTTATGTATTATGCATATATTTATTTTTATCAAGGAGTGGTTAACTTAAATCCCGCCCTATCCTTTAAGGGTGTAAACAAAGGAAGATTCGTTTCTGTTTTACTCGTGATGAAAAGTTGAGCTAGTTACGTCAAGAACAATGGCAGAATTTGTTAAAGCGCAAATTAAGGGTGACAAAGTAGTTGTGTTTTTGAAGCCGTCCTGTCCTTACTGCGTACTCGCGAAGGATGTTTTGTCAAAGTATAAATTCAAGGGTGGACATTTGGAGTTGATCGATATCAGCGGACGCAGTGACATGGGCAGCATACAAGACTATCTGCAACAGATTACGGGGGCGCGCACGGTGAGTAGGCTACTATGGAACATTTTTGATAAGACCGAAACACCCCACATTACATTGACTAAAAAGTGTAATGTGCGACGGGTAATCTTGTAACTTTAAATACAATTTTTTTATTAGCGAATTTTTTGCCGCGTCACCAAAGAGCATGACCTGCACACGTGGCCATGAATCATGATAATTGTAGATATTTAATATGCTTTATGAGTATTTATATGTTTGATTAATTTCCATTGTCATTTATTACGTTTATTTAGACCTAGGCTTTTTTTACATGTACAATATGTAACTTAGGTTCCTCGAGTCTTCATAGGGGAGAAGTGCATTGGAGGAGGAAGTGATGTCGAAGGTCTTGACCGTTCTGGAGAACTGAAAGGCATGTTGCAAGCTATCGGATCTCTGCAGTGAGGGTATACTTCACAGTTCTTCTTTATGAAATATTAATAATGTACAGCACAATTACACCAGTGGTTCTCAACTGGTTTGCTAAGTGGCCACAGTGCATTTGTGTATTGTAGCCTACACACAAAAATGTTGTTGTTTTTTCTCTCAGCGACGCGTCAAGTAATTTCATTTAACAAAACATATCACAGTCAATACAAAACATATTTGTCCTCAAATTTAAAAGCAATTTGGCTCCAGTTGTATTGTAATATCATTGAGATTATTATTATTGTCTTTACCATGCATACATAGCTTTCATCTACAGTAGCATTGTTTTTCCCATCATCGCCAACCATATCAGAACAGACCGACCCATTTTTGGGTCGCAACCCATCCGTTTAAGTCACAGACCCTCAGAACAAACACGCATCCTTCTAAAATGTCTTTATTCAGCATGAGATGATGGTCAACAAAACTGGACTAGACTAAAGACAGCCAGAATCGGCTCTACGTTGACCACACCAACTGCACTAACAGGCGATCCACATGCTGGATGCGTACTTCGTATGTTATTAGTTGAAATAAAAATCTCAGATGTACATGTTACAAAAATAGTTGCATCAAATTCAAATCAATCTCATGGGGGGGGGGATTCATATTGCCGGAGTAACCACTGAATTCATAAAGAAAGAAATCTCACCATGACAAAACATGGCTGACCATGAGAGTGAAATATCAATCTCTGGAGAGACTATGAGGTTGACCCTACCCTGTTTAATACGTTGGGGTTTAATCCATCGCAGAGGAAGTTTATTGCACCAATCAGGTGTAATCTTTGTACAGAAGATACAGTATCCACATAGAAGGGCTCTATATGACATCGTCACACAGGATCCACTCAAATCCAGTGAGAGCTCACAGCTGTCCACTTTATATCACAGGCTCAGTGGTCAAAGTTCAGGTGTAAATACAGTATATCAGAATCCACCAGAGGTCAAACATAGGTCTCTTTTATCCTGCACGTACATGAATCTTGCATCCTCTGTTTTTCGCCCTCCCTTCCGGTCCTTAGGGCGTCAAGAAAGGGTCACATGATGCTGCAGCGAGACTTGCGTATCTGCCGCCTGCTTTGCTGGTATTCGCTGAGCTCCTGTAGGTAACCTCTGGAGGGCCAGCGCAGACGTTCCACCTGCTCACGCTCCTCATCTGGCAAAAAAAAAGCATCATCGGGACTAAGAAAGTATTGCGACAACATCTCCTGGCTGCAAGCATTTAAACGTTGCGTTATATCCGTCCACCAGATTTCTCTTTATCTTTCACTTCAATTGTAATGTAGGCTGAAAATGTAATTGTCTCTAAAATGTCCATATGTGTTTCTCATTAGATAATGCATGAAGAAATTATAAGGTTGCTTTAAAAACCTAAAGGGAGCGTGACGAAAATAAAACTTTTCCTGTCACTGCTTGCTTGTTGTATTCATTGACTCACAAATCTATACACCATTCATGAGGTGACACTTGTTTTATTTGTTTGCCAAGTGCATGTGGAAGGGCAGGATGTACTAATAGGGTGTGAAAATGATTCATTCATTTTAAAAGTGACCTTACATTTGCTCTTAGTGTTTCTTAACAAAGCTTTTGACTTAAGCCGGTCGTGATTTGCATGGGCTTGTCTGCAGCACCAGCTGTTCGGGGCGCTGGTAACTGGTTTTTGTAGCTGTCAGAGATAATTATGTGTGCTTGTGTTCTAATGCACTGAAACATCCTTTCCAGGTGGTCGAGCGGACGGCTCACCTGATAGCTCCAGGAAGTCAGGCTTGTGGCTGAAGATCAGGTAGTTATTAGCGATGAAATGGAGGAGCCAGACATATAGTTGGTCAGCGTTGTGACACTGTGATGACAGAGAGTGGCAAAAGATCAGATAGAATGTTAAAGGAGCAGTTCACTTTTAAATAAACTTTTGCTGATAATTTACTCACCCCATGTCATCCAAGATGTCCATGTCATTCTTTCTTCAGTCGAAAAGAAATTAAGGTTTTTGATGAAAACATTCTAGCATTTTTCTCCATATAATGCACTTTACAGGGCACCAAACGGTTCAAGGTCCAAAAGACAGTTTCAGTGCAAACCGTTCAAAGGGCTTTAAACGATTCCGATGAATAAGGGTCTTATGAAGCGAAACGATCGTTCATTTAATAAATAAATAAAGTTTAAGTTTTATAAGCTCAAATGCTCGCCGCGCTCTGTTCTGTGATGCACCTTTGTGACTCTCCTGTTCAAACTCATTTATCAAAATGAGCAAATCTTTTTTCATGTCATTTGGTTCATTCAATGAACGGATTGACTCGGAAAAAGATTTCGAACAGGAGAATCACGAACGCACATCGCAGAACAGCAAGGCGAGCATTTGAGCTTATAAATTTAAACTTTTTTTTTTTAAATGAGCGATCGTTTCGCTTGATAAGACCCTTATTCATTGTCTGGAATCGTTTAAAGCCCTTTGAACAGTTTGCAATTTGCACTGAAACTGTCTTTTGGACTTAAAGTGCATTATATAAAGTAAGTAAAGTGCATTATATGGAGAAAAATCCTGGAATATTTTCATCAAAAACCTTAATTCCTTTTCGACTGAAGAAAGAATGACATAAACATCTCGGATGACACGGGGGTGAGTAAATTATCAGCAAAAGTTGTTGTTGTTTTTTAAAGTGAACAACTCCTTTAACTAACAAACAAGCTGGAAGTATCACCGAAGGTATTTTTCAAATGGCAAACTACCATAAAAATAGATATTTTTTGCAAATTTGTAAGCAAAACCAAATGAACAACCTAATACAGGTGATAAAATGTATGGTTTACATACTTAACTGCAAATATGTAGTCATTTTCAGTACTTAAAGGTGCAATGTGTAATATTTTTGAGTTTCTATTGACAAAAATTGCAATATGACATCCATAACTATGTGTTCAGTGGTGTTTAATGACCTTACTCAATGAACCGTTATGTTTTTATTACCTTAGAATGAGACATTTATATCTACATAACTGCGGACACCCCCTTCTATGAAGGTCCACATATTGTGACATCATGTTTCTACTGTAGCCGACAGCGAACAAACAGCGTGTTTCGTCACTACCTTCAAAGAGAAGCAGCAGAAATCTAGAAGCTATCCATAGACCCTGTGAGTAGTGACTTTTCCCTTGTCAGTGGTGTAAAATATTGGATTGTTTCATCTAACTTAGTTCTTCTCCCTCGCTGCGTTATGGCTTTGACAGTCAGCTGATTAGGACTATTTACCGTAAAATAGTAACGTTAACGTTACAGGAGTCACCAACGCATCAATCACGATCTTGGAAGCATTTTAAGTCAATCGCGAAGAGTTTTCAAAACCAGACAAAAAAAACTATATTTTTATTTATTATTATTTATTAATTTGAGTGTTGTAAATTGTCGATCCAAACCAACAACACATGGTGGATACACATTTGTGCAGCTCTCTCGCATTGTATGATGTGACAGACTACCAGTTGTCTAGTATTAAGTTCAGTTCACACAGTGCAGGTATTTTCCAAGAATTCGGTTGCGAGTCCTGGAAATGTACTTGTGTGAGTTTCGTTATAGAATGCGGTTGTCACTATAGCCTACCGTAAATAACTGAGGACTCAAATACTATTGTATTCTGCTACTGTGTGAACGTGGCCTTTATAACATCCCAGTTCATTTTTCTTCCATACATATTTGTATTTTTATAGTGATATTACGGATCCAAAGTGCTCAAACACACCCCCTTGACCCACCTTTGCTTTCTTCAGTAAGCGAATCACACTGATGCCCGTAGACGCCAGCTCTCGACTGGGCATGTTCTGAAGATACGCGCAGACGCAAACCTCACACAGGTGCTGCAGTCGTTTCACCTGGTACATCTCTGCGCACACGAGCACGGCCATGGCCTGCAACACACTGGCTGAACACACACACCACCATCCATCCATCAACCTCGGCTCATATTCGCCCATGTCAATCAAACTCAGTCTTTGTTTGCAAGTGTTGTTTAATGTCCATTCAATGTAAGTCAATGGGGCCCAGTATTGTTCTGGACTCCACTGACTTTAATTTTGTGTACAAAAGCAGAAACATTCTTCGTAAGATCTTTTGTGTTTAACAGAAAAAGTAAGTCATACAGGTTTAGAAGAAGCACATTAGGGTGACTAATTGATGGCAACAGACCTTATTCACAGCAGCGTCATTGTGGCGGTTTCATTGAGTAATTAGTCATTTCTGAGTTGCAGGTGATTGGCTGAAGGGAGTGGTCATACACCTGAATGTAATCATGCTGCTCAATAAAAGACTGGGACCGAGATCAGGAGAGCGGGGTTGAGCTTGTGCTGCTTTGTTTGCGCTGTACCTTGGCTATGGGGAGGACTCGTTGAGATGTTCAAAATATGGGAGATCACCACCGCCTGATCCATCTCATTTGGGATGGTTGTCATCTCTGGAGGTTTCATGGACTGCTGTCTTTCATAAGTACACCTATGCACACATCTGCTGACACACTGATTACCATCTTTAATGTTGTTTTGTCTTTTACGGATAAATTAACTCATTAAAGGAGCCGTATGCAAGATTGTGGCCAAAACTGGTACTGCAATCACTTTTAAATTACTGTAGAGCGGTGTATCTCCACCCCCTTTCCTCTTTGACTCGAGGTTGCCAGATATACTGCAGGATCCAGCAGGAACATAGGCTGCTACAAGAAGCTTCTGTTAATTATTTATTTCGGACGAAGTATTTCGGTCACATATTGGTTTCGCAACGTTATACATTTTTTTTATCCGATTCCGACACATTTGTATCTGCAGCTGTGGTAACTAGAGAAGAGCTGGCAACCCGAGTCCATGATTGGTAGATCGGTAAAGGGTGACGCATCAGAGCAAAACACAACATGACAACATCAACATCAGTTGAGGGCTGCAACTTCACTTTTTAAATGACAATATCCTGGCCGGACTACTGTTGTCAGTGATATAAGTATTTGAAATGAACGTGATTTCTTAATGTCTAGTGACATATCAGGGAAAATTTATGATTAATTGAAATACATTTCTTGCATACAGCTCCTTTAAAGGGATAGTTCACTTTGACATAAAATTTTGGTATGTTTTAGCTTACCTCAAGGTCATCCAAGATGAAGGTGTCTTTGTTTCCACAGTATTTTCAATTTTGATATTTTTAGGTCAAACCGTTGATTTCTGTCAGTCATATAATGGAAGTCTATGGTGTGTGCGGTGACTCTCTTATTTTGTTGCGGTTCAGAAGAGATCGTAACAGTCACCTTTGATTTTCAACATTAATGAAAGCGAGGCTGTAAGGGATAGACATGCGTGTCTTCTGTGGGTTGTTGGATTGTTCTGCTTACGAAACACTTTAAAAATATATTTTTAAGACATTTCAGAAGACAAAAAACTCCCGACAATATGAGCTGTGTAAAATAAGTGATCCGCGAGCTTGCTACAGCTTTTTGAAAACACGGCAAGTCTTTTCCTCATAGCCTCGCTTTCATACCCGTCATGGCGCTGCTCTGAATAAGGTCTATTTGCATTGTTATCTCTTTTAGAAGTCTTGAAAAGCACATCCTTACCTGGACAGCAGGTGTCAGTGTAGAGGTACTCCAGGAAAGCTAGAAAGGTATCAGACGAAACTCCGTGGATTGGCACCACGCGACTTCGTGCTTCTGCGTACTTCCCACTAAACATGGCAGCCATAACATCGCAGCGGGCCACAAGCACGGCTCTGTGCGCTGGCAGTACGCTTCCTAAAAACACACACAGAAGCACACTTACAGCATTACAGAGGCGCTCTGACACACACACACACACACAAGCCCTTCTCTTGTACTTTCAGAACCACTTTTAACTCAGAATCAATGTGCCATTGTGTGTGCCTGTGTTTGTGTTTCAGGGTTGTTTTTGTTAACTAAAACTATAAAAAATCATTAGAAATGTTGTCTTAGCAAGTACTAAAATTACTCAAACTAAAATAAAAATATAAAAGCCATTTCAAAATATTTATAACTACTATTGTAGTGTATACATAGCAAAACAATTATACTGGTGTGTGTACATGTCCATGCACATGCAGGGTTAGCATTGACTCTTGCCTTGGACCATGAAGATGACATCAGAGTACAAAGGGGAATTGAAGAGGCTTCCCAATGTCAAAGGACCTTGTTGAGAGCGGGATGTGGGTGTGTCCCTGGGGGCCTGCAACCAGAACGAATCAACACTGCAGTGCACAGTTTGAGGCGATGAATACTGTTAGTACCATTTATAATTGAGAAACCAGGTTAGCCATGCAAATCCTTGGAAAAATTCACAATGGATTTACTGTAGTAAAACCAACTGCAGGTGTGATATTTTAAAAATGGAAAACCGTAATAATAAATAATCTTCCTACTATTACATTTAGGGCATTTGTAATTGTAGATTTTATACAAATGCTGTAAATGAGCTAGAAGTAGCAATGAAGATTAAACAAATTAATAAATCATACCTGCAGTAGTAGTGGTCAAAAGTTTGGAAACATGACTATTTTTAATGTTTTTGAAAGAAGTCTCTTTGCTCATCAAGCCTGCATTTATTTGATAGAACAACAACAAAAAATTTAATATTGTGTAATATTATTACAATTTAAAATAAGGCTCTTCTATTTGAATATAATTTATTCCTGTGATCAAAGCTGAATTTTCAGCATCATTATTCCAGTCTTCAGTGTCACATGATGCTTCAGAAATCATTCTAATATGCTGATTTATTATCACTTTTGGAAACAATTATGCTGCTTTCTTTTGTACACTATACCGTTCAAAAGTTTGGGGTCAGTATTTTTTTCTTTTCCTTTTTTGAAAGAAATTAATACTTTTATTCATCAAAGATGTGTCAATTGATAAAAACTGATAGTTAAGTTTGATATATTGTTAGTAAAGATTTCTATTTTTAATAAATGCAGTTCTTTAACGTTTTATGGATGCATATATAAAACACAAATTAACAAAAATAATTAGAAATGTAATGTTAATCAAACAACTAAAGAAAAAGAAAATTGCACATTGACCTTGACTGAATAACTTCAGTAGCTTTAAAAAAATAATAAATGTATATTTTATTAATTTATGCAATGAAAACTATCCAGTGTATTTACAGTTGCTTTGGTCATATCACCTACCTCTAATAATATACATTATATTTGAATATGATTATTATTTATAATGTATTAACTTAGACTAACAAATGCTAATTCATCTCAGTAAAGCACTTATTTTTGGACACTTTTGGTTACAGAATAAATTCATATGTGAATAATAATTAATTAATTAATTAATTAATTAATAAAATGCCAGAACATGCATTGGTAGAAACTCAGTGCTGCAACCACACCAAAAGATGTCAGTATAAAGTCTTGAGTCTTGTATCAGCCAGTGAAACAAAAACTCAGACTGCATCCGAAATCATATACTTCCTTCTATGTAGTAGGTGAAAAACAATGTCACAAATGTCCAAATTCACAGAACCCGGATAAAAAGTATGCGGATGACCTACCCCGACTTTTTTTCGCGAGAGAATTTGTAAATGGCAGTGAAGCGACATAACTGACACTGTAGGTCACATGATAATGACAACATGTAGTCGGTCCGAATCTCATTCATACTAAACGCATTCACACTACATAGAACATACGTTTTTAGTGCTTGCAAAGTAAGTACTTATTTAAAATAATTACCTACTCAAGAGAGTATGTGATTTCGGATGCAGCCTCAGCTCTATAGATCCAATCAGCCTCCTGTCTGTCAGAGTGATACCTTTTCTCTCCCAACAAATGAGCGCATCCTGTCCATCAGCTGGGCCACGGCCAAAGGGTTCTTCAGTTTTTCAGCGATGGCTTCCTCCAGGTATTCCCATTCCCAGGCCCCTGCGAAGAATAAACATCACCAACACGCACTGACCCATGAACGCATCCTGCTCGCACGTGCATTTAACTGGCTGTCCGGCTGACCGTGGAGTAAATCTCGACCTTTTACACTGGCTGCTCAGATCTGCTGGACTTTCACTAATAGTTCAACCACTCAGGGCTGGTGAATTCAGTCACAACTTTAAAAACAAGGCTGTAAGAGCCTTCTCTAAGAGTCAGCATTCTCTTCTCGGCTGTTTTGCATAATAATTAAATTGTGAAAGATATTTTTTTCTTCTTCTTGGTGACAGCTAAGAAAATTAAACCAATATTTAACTTGTTATAGTAACTGTTATTTCACAGTGAAGACCACGGTTCTATCACATACAAATATTCATCCATCACAGCTCAGGTAATATTAACCCAGCCTGGTTCGTAAATCTGTCTAGACAGACTGAGCGGGATTTGGCCTGAAATAAACCATGCACAATGAATTTCTGTGCATCATTTCTGTTAGTGTAACGGCCGTCCTTGGCTCAAGGGATGAAAGTGGCCTCTATAAAATCACACGATATATTAGCGGGGTGAGATGGTCTCATCAGTATGGGCATCACCTTCTCACCTTCTAAGCATGGCCTCACTCTGATAAATGAGTTTAAAATATCCATTCCTGTTTCCTGAACTGTTAAAGCCTCCTGATTGAGATGCATGTCCATCATGCAGCCTCCATTTTGCATCAAAGGTTCCAAAGAACGGTGAACAGGAGGTAATATTCCCGGCTTATGAGGAATGCATTTTTGTGGCGGGCTTATACGAGCATAGAATCATAATTGTGTATTCGGGTGAATGTCAAGAACACACCTCAGACATGTCCACTCCAGAACTCACTTCAGCTCAAAATCAAAAGAAAAAAATATATATTTTCATGACATTTAAAAGTGATTTCCCCTCATTCAAAAGTTTTAAATGTAGAAAAATAAACAGTGTTAGTTTAAAATTACACGAGAAGGCCAAAAAAAGCTGTTTTCACATGGAGTGCATCGCCTCTTGGAGGCAGCCATGTTGAGATCACATGACCAGCTGGATCCTACTTGCTTTATCTTGGTAATCTTCTTATTTTCAGACAGTCCAGCTCACAGAATAAATTAAACATGGCTGACTCTGAAAAGCACATTTCTACAACAGCAACAGTAAGTGAAAACGTTTGCTTTTGCGTGATGCTGTAATTACACCACTAGGTGTCAGTAATAAATATACAGTATAGGCTACATCATACATTGACGTATAGACCATTTTGCAAGATGTAAACACTGGTCCAGATAGAAACCCTTCCTGTTTCAGTTTGTAACCGTTTTCTTTATTTCACATGTAAAGAAAACATCTTCAAGATGTTTGTTTAACTTTTTGATTCAGTTTTATATGTTCTGTTGGTTGTATTTTATCCCAGCTTTTATGTAGTATCAAAAAACTGAAACAGGAAGTGCTTCTGGAC